GAGCTGAGGGACAGCAGCTCGCTGTGCTGCTCCTGCATGTCCTTCACCTGCTGGATGAGCGGATCGTAAGCGCTGGCTAGCAGCACGCTCGCCCGGTCCAGAGCCTGCAGGAACCGCTCCTCCTTCTGAGCCAGGATGAGGTCAAGGCCCTGGAAAAACCGTGACACGACCTCGCGGTCATTCTGAACCAAAGCGTGGCTGCGTTCTTTCTCCTGCGCCAGGCGTTCGGCCAGACCGCAGACCTCCTCCCAGCGCAGGCTCTCCGTCAGCCGGCTCTGGGCGCCGCGTTCCTTCACGCAGGCCGTCTGGAGGTCGTCGATGGCGTGGCCTTGGTGCTGGCCGACCGTCAGACAGAAGCCGCAGATGAGCTTGCGGTCCTGGACGCAGTAGACGTTGAGAGGCTGGCGCGGGTGCTCGGGGCAGGCGGGGGGTCGCTCGCGCTGGTACTTCTCCACGATGGCCCGCAGGCAGACGTTGACCGGCAGCGCGTCCACGCCGTTAGTGGGCAGCTCCACCACGCTGCGGCAGCTGGGGCACTTGAGCGGCAGACGCAGGGGGCGCCAGATGGAGAAACTGACGGAGACCTGCAGCACATTCTTCAGACAGCTCCTGCAGAAGGTGTGCGAGCAGGGCAACACTCTGGGGTCCGAGAAGAGAGCGTAGCACACCGAACACGTCAGATCCTCCTCCAGATCATCCATCATGGCGAATGCAGCCAGCAGCGGTTTCCCCTGAAAAGAGATTCAGATGTCAATAATTTATAAAGATGCAAGTGGTCTTTCTCAGGTTTATATTCAGAACTGCCCACGTATCATTCATAAAGCTTTATAGATCAGTTTATTTCAAATGTGTGTTGAACTGTTGGTGACCCAGGGCTTGATTTGGGGTTGTTCACCCAAGAACCGGTGAACAGCTCTGCTTCGTGGGATTTCAAGACTCGAAGTCATCTTCAAAACACAGATATTTTCAATGAAGCCTGAGACTTCTGTTTGACACTTTAAACCATGTGTAAACTTCATTCAAATCTGCTTCATTTGTGTGAAGATGAACGCAAGTCTGCTGGGTTTGGAGGGACCTGAGGGAGAGTGAAGGAATGATCAGCTGCACTAACCCTAGAAGTAGTGCTCACTGGATGGAACAACCTACTGAGTGCTCAAGTGACAAAACACATGTCTAAAAAAAAGTACTTTTAAAAGTAGATTTTTGTAAAAGACGTGATCATAATGTTTTACTATGTCTATGTCCATTGGGGACTTGTTACCTTGCTGTTTTAGTGCAGATTGTTTTATTCTGGTCACAGACCTTAAATCTTGTATTAATATAAAGGGTAGCTTTGTTTTTAAAATGATGAGCGTGTAAACCGCAGCCAGACAGTTTCAGACCGACTGAAGGCTGGCTGGGGTCTGGAGCACACAGAGCCCCGCTGTGACAACTTGCCCCATCGCTGTGCTACTCGATCAACTTATTTGTTTTATTTTAATATTAATACAAGCTAAATATCAATACAGTCAAATATAAGCACTCTCTGTTTCAATTAATTTAACACAAATATATTTATTGACGTACTGATGAGTAAGGCGACGTCACCGAAACAGAACAGCTAGCAGAAGTTCTTCAAGCACCATCAACATGCTCATTACCCAGACAACGTAATTAACATTAGAAACCGATTAGGACTCAGGACTCGGACAATGTAGAAACATGTTAAAGACAGAAATAAGCGCTCTGACCGTCAGAAGCAGTGCGAGTCCAGCGGAATGACAACACGGCATGCGCATGCGCACACTCACTGCTGTCCACCAATCACAGCTCTGGATTCAACGCGTCTTCAATACAATACTTGTTGCGTCTTAAGAGGAGGAATGTGATTGGTGGAAAGTTGATGTTGAAACCCGCATGTCCGTTATAACTGTGTGAGTGAGAGAGAGTGTGTGTGTGTGTGAGAGAGAGAGAGA